CTTGCCCTCCCTCTGCTTTGCCCTTTCCAAAATTTCTCCATTCCTCCCATGCCCCCACCCCTATTATGGATCAGTAGAGAAAACATTCAGCCTTTGTTTTTTGGGGACTGGTTTACTTAAGACCTAGGATAGTTTTTTTAATTTCCAAAATGCTGTAAGAAAATAGACATTGTTCAGGTATATTCTCATTTTATTCTTATTCTCTCCTTTCTCCTTCTCTCAGGTTATAAGCATGTGAAAGTTACTTTTAGGGGAGAGGGGTTGGATCAGGGATCCCTGCTTGAGGCTGAATAGTATATTACAAAGGATATATAATGAAGGGTGCATTCAGAGTTTAGAGGCCAAAAAATTGATAACCAATACACCAAATATTGGGATAATTGTCTAACTTTTTAAATGCTAATCTGGAATTATAGAAATATATTTATTTGATGTATTTTGAGTCATATCCCTGAGCTAAAACCAATTAGGTCATGAATATTTTGGGATTAAAATATGGCCAACTTGCCTTCCTAATATTTTACTTGAATTTTAAATTCATGTTTATAATGAGATTGGTCTACAACCTTCTTGCACTGACTTTGGTCTTGATATCACAAAAATAAATGTCATAGCTCTCTTCCTATTTTCTGAAATACTTTGAGAAAAGCCTTATTATTTATTGAAGATCTGATAAAATTTACCTACAAAATAATCTGGGCCTGTCTTTTGTAGAGGAGGCTATATATGTTCTTACTGTTTTATTATGAATAATTTCAAAGATATATAAAAATAGAGAACATAGCTAAATAAACCCCCCTTTTTTAATCACCTAGAGGCAACAATTAAGATTTTTGACACATTTATTTCATTTGATGTCTATTTTAAAATTTATTTTATTTTTTTTTCTATTTTTTGGTACTGGCATTGAATCCAGGGGTGCCTAACCACTGAATTACATTCCCAGCTCTTCTTATTTTTCATCTTCAGACAAGGTCTTGCTAAGTTGCTTAGGGCTTTGATAATTTGCTGAGGCTCGCTTCAAACTTGCAAATCTCCTGCCTCATACTCCCAGGTCGCTAGGATTTTAGGCTTGCACCACCATGGCTGTCTATTTTATTTTTCTTTTATAAAGAATTTTAAAGCAAATATCAGACATCATGTTTTCGTCCCTACACACTTCATTATGCATCTCCAAAAAAAAGGATATTTTCTTATACAAACAAAATTTCATTATGACATTTAACATATTAAATATATTTCCTTGGTCTTATTTCTAGAAGACAATTAGATTTCCCATTTGATTGTCTCAAAATGTTTCCCACATTTGTTTGGAGAAAAATTTGAGATTATTAGATCAATTTCTTCAATGATTATTGATTTAATCAGACCTTTTCTGAGTCAGTTTTAGTCATTCCATCTTTAGAAAATTATTTATTTCATCTATTTCACCAATAGCATTCTTGATTAATTTGCCTGAATTATGAATTCACAATTAATTATGAATAATGAATTTATAATTCCAACTGTTGATGTGATTTCTCTCTCAAGTGCTAGATACCCAGAATCAGTACCTGAAAATTCTCACTACCAAGAGTTCTCTTTCATGGTAATTGTGGGCAAATTAAGTCTGAGTTTGTAAACTCCTTAGATACCAATTTCTACCACTTTAGGGATGAGGGAGGAGGTGTTAGTCCTTTTGTGGATTCCAGTCCAGGCCTGTCTTGTTCCAGAAGTTTCTTCATCTTAACATCACACCAAATAACATATTTTATCTTCAAATCATCTAAAATGTTATTTCTTCTCACAGGGCAGAATAAAATAAAAAAATCTGAGTACGGCAGAACTTTAGATGAGATTTCACTTATTTTACAGGTAAAGAAACTGAACTCCAAAGAGATCAAAGTCATTTGTCCCAGGTCAAATAATCAATAGTATCAATAGTATCAATAGTAGGAAGGAGACTTTATAAATATTAAGAAAAGAATGAATTCCAGGAAGCTGGGTGTGGTGGCCCATGCCTGTCTGTAATCCCAGTAACTCAGGAGGCTGGGGCAGGAGGATCACAAGTTCAAGGCCAGGCTCTACAATTTAGCAAGACTTTCAGCAATTTAGCAAGACCCGGGCTTAAATAAAGGGGCAGGGGAAGGAGAGAGAGAGAAAAGGTCAGGGTTCCAATATCCCCTTCAAGGATATGTTCCAAAAGACCTAACTCCCTTCCATTAAGCCCCACTTTGCAATAGCACCACAGATGAACAATTAATCCTTCAACACATGACCTTTGAGGGGCATTTAAGGTCCAAATCATAACAACCACCAACTTCTTAAGCTTGGATTACAAATGTTGAGTCCAAGAGACTGTTTATCTGGTAGATATTTTGGACTTAAAACTAGCAAGCTCTAAGGATAGTACTTCTGAGACGTATAGAAGGGCCAGTGATCTGACATATAGAACGAGGGCAGAGATATCTTAAAAAGTATTTAAGTGAATTTATTTTAACATTTACTATAAAACGTCAGTAATCAAAACAGTGTGCCACTTTATTAGGATGGTGATTATCAAAACCCCCCAAAATATGTATTGGGTGAGAATGTGGAGAAACTGGAACCCTGTGAAATGTTGATGGAAATATGAAACAGTGTAGCTCCTATGGAAAACTATGTCAGTTCCTCAAAAATATTAAAAATAGAGTAGGTGCATGGGCTGGGGTTGTATCTCAGGGGTAGAGGGCTTGCCTCCTATGTGTGAGGCCCTGGGTTTGATCCTCAGCACCATATAAAATAAATAAATAAAGATATTGTGTCCACCTACAACTAAAAAAAATTTTTTTTTTTAAAAGAGCAGATGTATGTTTGAGGTGGGAGGGTCACAAGTTCAAAGCCAGTGTTAGCAACTTAGTGAGGCCCTAAAGCAAATTAAGAGACCCTGACTCTAAATAAAATATATAAAAAGGGTTAGGATGTGGCTCAGTGGTTAAGTGCTCCTGTGTTCAATACCTGGTACCAAAAAAAAATTTTTTTTTTAAATAGAATGAGCATATGATCCAGCTATTTCAATTCTGGCATAAACCCAAAATATTTGAAAGCAGAGGCTGAAAGAGGTATTTGTACACTCACATTCATAGTAGCACTAATCACAACACCCCAAAAAATAGAAGTAACCCAAGTATCCATCAATGTAGATAAATAAATTTGGTATATAAACACAATAACCTCAAAAACTGGAATTTTTACATGTAGCAACATATATGAAATTTGAAGACGTTTTGCTAAATGAAATCAGCCAGTCACAAAAGAAAAGTTCTGTATGATTCTACTCATTTGAGGTAATTATAGTAGTCAAATTTTACAGACAGAAAATAGAAGGGTGTTTGCAAGGAGCTGGGGAGGGGGAGGTGTTTAATGGTACAGAGCTTCAATTCTGCAATGTGGTGGTGGTAATGGTTGCACACCTGAACGTACATAACACCACTGAATTATACACTTAAAAATGGTTAAAATGCTAAAATTTCTGTAATGCATACTTTACAATTTTAAAAAGCAATTTTACAAAAATAATGTGACACTGACATAGACACATGAATCTATGGAAGAGTCAAGAAATAGATACACCACAAGTCAAGGTGTTCAATGTATAAATAAAATTCAATGTATAAATAAAAGAAAGCTTTTTCTTTTCTTTTGGTACTGGGGATTGAACCCAGGGAGGCTTTGCCATTAAGTTACATTCCAACCTTTTCTTGAGACAGGATCTCACTAAATTTCTAAGATGGCTTCAAACTTGCAATCCTCCTGCCTCAACCTCCGGAGTGGTAGGGATTAAAAAATATAGCCTTTTCAATAAATGTATATCCCTCCAGGAAAATGTGAACTCTAAATCCTACCTGACACCATAAGAAAGATTAATTCTAAGGAGTGGGTATGGGACTCAGTGGAAGAGTGCTTGCACAGCATGCGTGTGGTACTGGGATTGATCCTCAGCACCCAAACAAAAAATTTCAGCCGGGCACAGAGGCACATGCCTGTAATTCCAACCACTGGGGAGGATGAGGCAGGAACAGGATCGCCAAGTTCCAGACTAGCCTTGGCAACTTGGCGAGACCCTGTTTTAAAATTAAAAATTGAAACGGGGTGGGGATAAATCATCCCTGGATTTAAATCTCAGTACCGGGGTCGGGTAGGGGTGGGGTGGGGAGGCAGCAGACTTAGACAAAAAGTAAAACTGAAATTTCCACATGAAAACAGGAGAAAATAATCTTCGTAAACTTGGGACAGGCAGAATTCTGAGCACAGAAAGAGCACAAACAACAAAAGAAAAGCAACCAAACTAAAAGGTTAAAGTCAAAATAATGAAAGATCAAGACCCACACTGGGAGAAAGTATTAGCAATCATGTGTCTAACATACATATATCCACCTGATAAAACATTTGTGTTCAGAATTTTTACACTCAATAGGAAGACGAAGAGATAGATTTAAAAAAAAAAGTGGGCAAAAGACTGGAATTGACCATTCACAAAAGCTGCAGAATTCTCAGTGAGCGTACGGCCAGGAACTACCCCCGACAGGCCAGAAATGAACGCACTCCTCAGTTGAAAGGCCTTTAAAGTGGGCCGGTCGACCTAACAGTACCATATAGTCATAACCACTACTCGCGAAAAAAGAAAACAGGCCACAATGCCACCTGCTTCTTTAAACTTCATCGATTTTCTCCGCACATTCACAGAACTCTACCACCAGGAAGTCTCGCGATATTAGGGAAAGCGAAGCCGCTTCCCCAGAGTAAGGAGCAGTAAAGAGCGCCGGAGCGTCCAAGCCTCCCAGATTGGCCGACTGGTTCCAAAGGGTGGGGCAGAAAGGATCCACGCAGATACTGGAGAGCCCACTAAAGCCTTCCGAAGCGCTCCCGCCACGCCCAGTACGGAACCGCCTCCGGTTGCCCCGTACGGTTATCCACCCACTTCTCGCGGTATTTTTTCCGTTTCTCGCGGGGTTTGGCGTGGCACTGGGAGGCCGGCCCGGGGTAGGAGGCGGCGTTCCGTTAGTGGCGTTGGGGTCTGGCGGCGGCGGCAGTATTTTCTCCTTTGCTGACGCGGAGTGGTTCAGCCTGGAGCCAGCCAGGTGACGAGCCTATGTGCGCGCTCCTGGGAACTGGGAGGCTGGGGCTGGAGGGCCGATCTGGCCTCCCGCGCGGTCGCGACCGGCCCGCGCAAGGCGACCGTGGCGCGGCTCCGCCCCGCCCCGCCTCGGCGCCCGCCCTGACTGCTCTCCTCCCCTCTCTCCAGCTCTCGCCGCCGCCGTCGTGATGGGGGCTCAGGACCGGCCGCAGTGCCACTTCGACATCGAGATCAACCGTGAGCCGGGTGAGCCGGCCGCCGTGGCCTTGCTGGCTAGCGCAAGGGGAGGGTCAGCTTCACCAGCCCTCGCCCAGGCCTTTTGGGGAGCGGGGAGACGCAATCAACTTTCCCTTTTCTCTTGCAAGAAAATGAAAGGAGAGGAGTCTAGCCCCGCTCAGCACCAGCCTCCAGCTCGGAGTTCGGGCCTCTTTCTCCTAAACCCCACGCCCCCTGCTCCTCCGGATCTAGTCCTCATACCCAGCCTGCCGCCCAAAATAGAAAATTTCTGCTTCCAAGTGACTCCAGGGGGCAAGCCTTGCAGATTCCGATTTGGGGTAGTTTGCTCTGTACTCCCAAGTTTGGACTCTTTTTATTCTGTATTACCTAGCGACTATATATCATTAATTCTTTAACTCCCCTTCTATTTCCCTTTAAGAATCTTTATACCTAGAGTTTCTTAGTTTGTGGAAAGATGGCTCAGGGATCGTTTTGTGTGATAAGCCAGCGAAATTGCAGCATGGAGGCGCTTAGCATTAATATTTTTTGTCTTTAGGAATACACCCATTCATTAGGTTTTTCTTTTTTAAAGTATTTTCTTTTAAAAGGTAGTCAGTTTCATTCTAAGTAGCAGAGCGTGCAGGGTTCTAAACCGTTTTCTTCGCTCTTTTTGGTGTCTGCCAGGTTTTGATTGGAGGCATGTATGCCATCGTTGTGCAACATCTTGTTCTGCACATTCTTATGAGACCCTGTTCCTGTTCTAGACTATTGAGAGATAGCAGTGAATAAAACAAAGGCATTTTCTTTTGTAGTTTGTTTTCTGTTGAGGTCAGAGACAAAAAACTAGGGGGAATATACATGACTAGTAAAAGGTGTACTGAGATGTGAGATAAGGCCATTTTGGGAAGATAACATTTAAACAGATGAGGAAGTGAACCATCTGGATATCTTTAAGAAGAGCATTCCTGGTAGAGGGAAACAGTTAACAGGCCCTGAGGAGGAGTGTACTTGGCCTTTTAAAGGAATAGCAAGGAGCTCAGCGTGACTGGAATATAGGGAAGAGTTAGTAGGAAAAGACCTGTAGGACTTTAACCCTGTGAGATGGGAAGATTAAAAGTTTGGAGCAAAGGAATAATCTCAGAAATTTTGTTATACCCTGTTGTTGCTAGGGATGTAACCCAGGGCCATCCTATGCATACTAGGCAAGAGCTCTACTACTGACCTACACCCCCAGCCCTACTTCTCTTTTTCTTTTCAAATATTTTGAGCCTTGTAGGATCTTTTTTTGGAAGGGGGGATCTTAATCCTTGTTTATAGTGAATCCATGCTCCAGGTAACAGTGTTCTTTTTTAAGAATTAAAAATAGCAGAACTCTGGGGCTGGAGTTGTGGCTCAGTGGTAGAGCTCTTGCTTGGCATGTGTGAGGCACCACATATAAATAAACCACATATAAATAAATAAATATTTCTTCTTGAGTGAGTTTTAGTAGTTTGTGGCTTTTAAGAAATTGGTGCATTTTATCTAAGTTGTTGAATTTATGTCCATAGTGTCCATAGAGTGGTTCTGCACAGCTGTACTGATATTTCCTTTTTCATTCTTAATATTGATAATTTGTACCTGTTTTGTCTTTTATCCTTGTTAATTTGCCTAGAACTTACCAGTTTTTATATTCAGATTTTGATTTTAAAATTTTTTGTGTATTTCAATTTCATCAACTTCTGTTTTTTATCATTTCCTTTCTAATGCTTACTTTATTTTGTTTTTTTTCTAGTTTAAGTGAAAACTTAGATCATTGATACTTTGCATTCTAATATAAACATTTAATTATACAATTATAGAAGAAAATTTAGATGCAACCCACAAATTTTGAAATGTTCTAAATTCTCTTTGATACTTAGTCTTTGACTAACGAATTATAAATAAGTGTTTTAATTTCTTTTCTTTTTGCTACTAGGGATTGAACCCAAGGGTGCTCTACCACCCAGCTACATCCCCAGCTTGTTTTTTATTTAGAAACAGGGTCTTGCTAAGTTGCTCAAGCCAGACTCAAACTTGTGATGCCTCAGCCTGCCAGGTCACTGGGATTACAGGCATATCTACCAAAATGAAAGGGTCGTTTCTTTAAAGAACTTTGACTTTGGAATTTCTTTTCTTTATATAGGTCTGAGAGTAATATCATAATTTCCTCAAAGTTTATCAAAGTAGATGAAAATGGGAAGACAGTTGAATATAGTTTTTACTTTACTAAAGAATCACAGACTCAAAATGTGCACTTAGTAAACATTGTAAAGTATTTGGAAATGATTCCAAGAAATTGGTTTTAAAAGATAATGTAGTAGGAATGTTTTAGTACCACTTGTATTTGACCTTGGTTGAGCCAGTTAACCTCCTTGTAAAATGGAAGTACTATATACTTTTGTCTTCATTGATTCTAAAGATAGCAGTAGGGCAGTTTACAATTACCCTTTAACCTTTAGACTCACATTGAAAATAGTTAAGATTTCGTAGGAGGCTTATAGGATCTGATTTGTACCAAAGGAACAAGAGAAATGCATTTCCCTGTCCAAACTTACCTTGGGTTATAAGTTTATGAATAGTGGATGTGATGGACTTGTATTATTATATTTAAATGACCTCCCACGGTTCTATATGCTCATGAGTTAAATAGAATTTCTATGTAATAATAGTGTCTATATAATTAAGTTGTTGAGAAACATTATTAAATAATAGCCACCTGTCTTATAGATTGAGGTTTTTTTAAATGGGATTTATTAACTAAGGAGCACAATTTTAATTAAGTAAATTATTATATGTTATAACACAATCAGATACCCATATGGGATACTAATGGCATGAGAAGAGAATGGCAGTTGGACAGCACTGTCATTCTTACCCAGATGGTAATTTGAAGGCCACTATGCTTGCTAATGACCATGAGAGGAAAGGAGGCACACACAAGTGAGATGCAGTCAATTGTAGGACTTTCCTAGTAGTGTTCAGATTTTATAACATACACCTATAGCTAAAAACATGCCTTTATTACTGATATTCCTAATGAGAAATAATTCTTACTGTAACTTGAAATTCCCTTGTCTTCCCCAAATTCCATTTTCCCATGGATATACTCAATTGTATATATGACTTTTGATAATGCAGCATTTCTTAAAATTCTGATTTCATATTCTTGCAAAGATACTGTTTGTATAAAGTACCTAAGCACAATATCTGATTTTTTTAAAAGTTTTTTGACTTTTTTTTCAATAGTTGCTTCAATTATTGCATATTCACTGAGTCAGTGAAGGGCTTTTCTATGCAGTTAGACCCTTGTTGATTAGGCTGTTTCTTCACGTTAAGCAGAGGCTTGTTTTAGGTTTCTATAAGAGAGAGTTTTAAAAAATTTTATTTTTTTAAAGAATCTGGCTTGCTGGGGCTGGGGATGTGGCTCAAGCGGTAGCGCGCTCGCCTGGCATGCGTGTGGCCCCTGGGTTCGATCCTCAGCACCACATACCAACAAAGATGTTGTGTCCGCCGAGAACTGAAAAATAAATATTAAAAAAAATTCTCTCTCTCTCTCTCTCTCTCTCTCTCTCTCTCTCTCCTCTATCACTCTCTTTAAAAAAAAAAAAGGAAAAAAAAAGAATCTGGCTTGGAAAGATGGGTGTTGTAGGCAAACACAGTAGTTTTTTACTGGAATTTTGAAAGGGTAAAGTTTATTCTTAATACCTTCCTTTTTCTTTCCCCTTTCTTTTTCAAGACTCCAAGAAATGTATAGTCAAAGATTTCTCTCCATTTCTACCTTTAATATAAAATACCTGCTTTTCTTTACTTGACTCCCTGTGCTTTTATTTTTTGACTAAGATTGGTATTCATCTGTCGGGGTTGTTGCAAAGGGAATTATGGCTTTAGTGATGCAAACTTTCTAATGTGGTTCCTTATAGGAATTGTACATCATTTTGTAAGAGTTTGAGGAGAATGAAAACCAAGGTTTGTCTTGTTCTGGAGAGTCTTAAAGCATTCCAGAGTGTACAGTTCAGCCTGAATTCTTGGTAGACCACAGTACTTACACAGATGGTCAGGTGTTTAGCAAATACTTAATCTACTGGGAATAAAAGCAGATTGAAACTAAAAAGTTTTCTTTAAATATGCAGAAAGAGATCAGGCTAGAGGGGGAAAAATTTATTACTGACAAAGTTGTCTAGATCTGAGGAATACTTTAAAAATTATGTCAAAACTTGCATTCAAAACCCCTAATTGTGAATGCCTCCTGTGTAAGCCTTGTTACATATAGATCCCAACTTTAAGATTATATTTTTAAGATAATATCTTGAAGTTCAAGAGACTAATTGCTACAGAATAAAACCTTAAATTCCGTTTTTCCACCTTAACTATGTATATTTGCACAATTGAGGCCTGATTCATAATTAAGTGATGTTTATAATCAAACATAAATTAGGTATCATATAACCACTTTTATTAGCTTTGTAGCATAAGAAGGTACCTGGAGGATAGGGTTGGTTGCTAATATGAAGACGAAATGTCAGTGACTCAAACTAGATGCAAGTGTTAACTTTTCTCTGAAATAGCACTCACTCAGCATATCAGGGTTGTCGATGGACTCAGACTCTTTGCTTCTTGGTTAATCTTGACATGAAGCAGATGGCTGGTGAGTTTTTTTGTTGTTGTTGTTAGTTGTTGTTGTTTTTTGGTACCAGGGATTAAACCCAGGGGCTCTTGACCACATCCCCAGCCCTTTTTCTTTTTTATATTTTATTTAGAGACAGGGTCTCATTGAATTACATAGTGCCTTGCTAAGTTGCTACGGTTGCCTTTTTGAAATCACCTCCTGGACCGATGGGATTACAGGTGTGGGCCACCTGCCCAGCTATTAGGTGGTGTTCTTAATAGATTTCAAGATGGATAAATATAGAAGAAATGATGGAATCAGAAGAATCATTATTTTGCAACCCCAAGTGTAATCATTAGTTCAGAAAAGGATCATCAGTGAAAAGCTTTTTTGGAATGTAACACTA